TTTTTTCACATTTCACCTACCTTTTCCATTTCCCTTTCCAAATCCCTCCTCAAATCCCTCAACCAAACACAACATAAGAGTGTCAGTGTAATTTACCCTTGAAATTAAGTGAAAACCGTATGTTTTTTTTTTCATTTTCACTATGTTCAAGGGCATTATGCCACCATGTTTAAGGGCTTCAAGCCATTATGAATTAAGAATGTGATATATCAAGCTTTTATGTTCAAGAATGGGCCTAAGGCCGTTATAAGATGAATACAGAATCAGGCTAACTTTGTAATCTCTGCATTTACACATATATTGATATATGACATGTTTTAAGTTGAGCATTGCTTCATTATGTATTACTATTCACTGAGCCCGGCTCACTCTTTGTTATGTCTGTTTCTGTAGGCAACCAACCAGGTGGTCAATCCTAACCTATGATGCCCGGTTCCTTTTGACAACCTTCGTGTATCCAAGCACTCACAAGGCCACCCATTTTGTGAAGTCTACAAAGATAATTGGCTTATTTCTTGGCTACCCTTCCAAGGTTGATTGTGTATAACTCCAATAGTTTTTTGTTACATGCCCGACTACAGGGCTGGGTCTGTATATGTGTTTGTATATAAGTATTGCTAAGGAATATTTTTGGACTCTATCAACCTATCATGGTGCATGTAATGTATAAGATCCTGGCATGTTAGAAATAGCTCAATGGAGTTTGTTGGTTTTGTATTCTTCTAATACTTTGTGCTTCCGTCAAGGCCCCATATGATATATATATATATATATATATACCAGGTTATATGTCTGTTTCTGAACGGGTCATGCCCGAACTTTTAGGGGCAAGTAAGGGGCGTGACAGTATCACACGCGAGAGAGGGAAGGTAAACTTCTCAGTCTATCACACTCAAGAGAAGAAAGGGAAAAACCTCTCAGCGTATCACACGCGAGAGAGGAAAGGCAAACTTCTCAGCGCATCACACGCAAGAGAAGAAAGGTAAAACCTCTCAGCGTATCACACGCGAGAGAGGAAGGGGAAAACCTCTCAGCGTATCACACACGAGAGAGGAAAGGTAAAACCTCTCAGCGTATCATACATGAGAGAGGAAAGGGAAAACCCCTCAGCGTTTCACACGCGAGAGAGGAAAGGGAAAACCTCACAGCGTATCACACGCGAGAGAGGAAAAGTAAAACTTCTCAGCATATCACACGCAAGAGAAGAAAGGGAAACTTCTCAGCATATCACACGCATGAGAAGAAAGAGAAAACCTCTCAGCGCATCACACGCGAGAGAGGAAAGAGAAACTTCTCAGCGTATCACGCGCGAGAGAAGAAATGGAAAAACCTCTTAGCGTATCACACACGAGAGAGAAACGGTAAACTTCTCAGCGTATCACACGCAAGAGAAGAAAGGTAAACTTCTCAGCGTATCACACGCGAGAGAAGAAAGGTAGGTCCAAACGCATGCCAAATGCGAGAGGAGAATGGTATCAGTCAAACTAAACTGGACCTTCTCTGAATGAACAGTACTTACAATACCGTGCATCAATGAGAAAGAAACATGATAGGTAGAATGCAATACAATGCATTATGCTAAGGAGTGCAATAAACAAACAAAGCGATGCTTAGAAAGCACCTCACGAGGTGAATGGCGGTGAACTGCTCTACTCTGACGGGGATCTCCCCCTTGTGTTCTTCGAACACCTACCTTCAACTTGCAGTACAAAGGTCCTAAAATCCTGACAAGGGGCAACATCTACTGGAGAAACCATGGATGCCGCTTTTCTTCCCAGCCATATTCACAACTTTTCCTATTCTTCAATGGGGTGACAGACTTGGTTGGATTAGTATCCAGGACCGAGGCGCGAACCTGCTACCTCAACCTATGGGGCTTCCATACAGATTTCAAGCCGGGGATACACCCCTGGGTATTCAAACCAGACTTTAGTCTCGGAAATTCCAAATCTTTGTGTTCTAGGTATCGGCCATTCGAACTCTAGTTTCCACCATTGCGACTGATCTCCTAGGAACTCATTGCAAACACAGCCAAGATACCTTTGGCAAGGACGGCGCTCAGGGAGAGCACTTCTAATCGCCATTCTGGCTCGAAACAAGCAACACAGTATTTTGTTTACTTTGAACACACAGTTCGTACAACACACTACTCATTCTGAACACACAGCCCACAACACAATACTCTGTTTCTCTGAACACACAGCCCATTCTAAACACTGCTCATTCTGAACACACAGCCCATAACACAGTACTCTGTTTATTCGACATACAGCTCATACAACACGCTGCTCGCTCTGAACACACAACTCATAACACAGTCCTCGGTTCATTTTGA